CAGCTCGGTGGGTTCCAAGTGCCCTTTCTCTCGCGCCTCGCGCTCGGCCGCTTCCCGCTCCTCCGCCTCCCGCTTGCAGTAGGAGTACCTGTGATTCATGTGCTGCGAGTAGGAGCCCGAGTGTGAGAAGCGCTTGCCACATTTGTCACACTGGTAGGGCTTCTCGCCCGAGTGCAGCCTCGAGTGCTCGATAAGGTGGTGTTTGTGTTTGAACGCTTTCTTACAAATCTGACACTGGTGTGGTCTCTTTCCTGGGAGAGAGAACAAGACGACAGGGTGGTTAGTGTCTCGGCATCAAGTCTCATCAAGCACGTGCGCTTATGCCTGTAAGGTCGACACGCTCCGGCCTAACTCAAGGAAGTTAAGAATCCGGTGCGTTTTCCTCCCGTAATCTGGCTTTCGATGGCTTGCTGAGGAGTGTGATTAGTTAACCAATGAGACAGCTGCTGAACGGGAACTCAAAAAGTAGGCTTTCTCACTGTCCTGGGAAACAAGGCATTTCTAAGGGCCTACAGCATATCACCACCAGACAATTCTTCTCTTCCTTACTTGGGTAAGAGCAATTAAGATGGCATCATCGCCGGCTCTGTGTGTTACATCCTGAGTTAGCAGCTTTTGAAAGTGGGCCTTAGTCTTAAACAAAGAAGCAAACTGCCAAGTTAGAAAAGAACAGAGTAGAGGCAAGAAGATGGCAAGAGTGTCTTATCAGTCATCGGATTCTAAGAATAAAACTTTGAGAAGAAACGATCTGAAATACAGACTAGGAAGATGTATCTCATGAGGGTCTGAACTAGCTCCAAATAGTATTTTCCCTCTAGAGTTTTCCATGAGATGCCAGCCACTTGTTGAGTGTGAAAATACTCTCTGACTAGAAAACGTTGTACCTCCTCTCGCATTCCAGGCAGTTTCTAACCAGTGTTTGGAACTCGAAACCACTGCCAAGCCTAAACACATCTGGTTGATTCCAGGCCACAAATAGCACTGGAACGCCTTCAACACCTTCCGTAGCTGTCATACTTAAAAACTTTATTTCCAAAATAGAACTGACAAAAAAAAAAAAAAAAAAAAAAAAAAAAAATTATCAGCCTGAGGCTCCAGAGTTAAACGTGTGGTGCAGAGCATGACGTACCATCGTAACATACGTGAAGCTAGGTGCATCTTTTTCCGACTACGAACTCTTGTTTCCGAAAATTAAATTAAAACAGCAGCATCAGTAGGGGCAACCCCATTTACATTCGCTAAGTGTCATGTTATAAGATTAGGGGCCCATTCTCCACACTTGAGGTATTCAGTTATATGGTGATATACAATCCCAATTAGTAATCAAATATCTTTAATAATGTTATTGAATGCCTCCAGGGCATGCCACTACTTAGAACATGCTGTAGACAGTTATATGTCATTTCACTGATGGTCTTCATTTTACTGGAACATTCAATATAAACTTAGTGATGAGTGATATGGGTAGGCACACCATTTAAGGAGGAAGAAGCCTTGTTTGTTTGTTTCTTTGTTTTGTTTTGCTACCCAGAAGATAATAATTAAAAGTAATTTGTTGGTGCTCAGTATTTGGGAAATGCAGACAGAATTATATTAATCTACTTCAAGGCAGCTAGTAGCCCGAAGATAACCAAGTATAACTTAAGGCATATATGAAACATTCTTTAAATTTGGGGAAAGATGTTTTCTATGAGGCAAACTGGAGGAGAGTATTCTGGTGCAGTGGTAGGAATCTGGAGATATACAATACTATTTTATCTGGAGAGGTAACAACAGAAAGCAGGAATGTATTTGAGAAAAACTTAGGAAAAAAATATATATATATAGTTTAACCTCTCACGAAATGTTTTGGTCTTTCTTGATTGTATGATATTAAAGTGACAATGTTACAGGGACACCTTCATAGCAATTATTCTATGGGGAAAAATGGTACAGTGCTCAGTAAGAATAGTGAGCTCTGGATTTTCGTTGAAATTCATCTTTTAGGACAGGCTGTGGTCAGTACGTCCACTCTCAGGAATTTCAACTGCGTCCATGATCAGGGTCTTTGTAGATAAAGGAAAGTCATTTGGGGGCTTAGCCTGAAGACTGGCTGGCCATAGATAGAATAATGGTGACAGGATTTATAAAGTGTTTAGTACAAGGATTTCGAAGTGAGCAGCCAATTATTAGCTTATCAGTTAGCTCTTGTCCATTAATACATGTTCACCCATTTCTTAAATTCTAAGAAAGATGCATGTATCACAGACTGGTGTACATGCAAGAAATAAATCTAAATAGAGATAAATTACACATGAACATTTTCTTGTTGCTTTAATTGTTAAAATAGGCATGAACAAAGCTGTTTCATGATGTCATTTTGATACTATTGTCTCATCAGCTCAGGATCAAAGTTGGGTCACTTCATGGAAAGAATATACAAAACATTTTGAATGATCTTTGAGCCAATAAGTCTTTTTTTATTTTCCAAAACAGTAGAGCTAGAGCAGCATCTGGACAGAAAGCAACCATTCTCCAATACAAATTTCCATGCACTCTTTTAGAGTGCTTGGGAGATGGATTCTATGAGGACAGACAGCCAACTTTCAAAGAATTCATTTGCTAATAGGCACTGTGCTTGTAATAGGACCACATTAATTCTGTATCATACACTGACAACCTGCACGGATAAAGTACTCAACAGTGATGTCATGTGAAGGACAAAAGCAGTGAATGACTAAGAGTTTTGACACTTACCTTGCTCTAAATAATCTACTAATCTTGAGAACATTCACTAACAAATATTTAATAAGTTCAACTTAAAACAAGAGTTAACTTGGAATTTTATTTCATTTTAATTTGTTTGATTAGTTTACCTGACTCAAATCAAAATGTCCTAGAATCAAATTTATATATGAACAAGATTTTTAAAAAAAATCCAAATTGCTATTAAATGAATCAAAACATTTGGGGGAATTTTTTTTCACTGTTATCTAGGTTCATGACTCATCTGACAGCGATAATGAAAACTAAAGTTAATAAATAGAAGATTTATGGTATGAAAAATTGCCATATAACTTAGGAACAAAGTTGATCAAAAATTTAATTGAAATTTAAACTCTGTCTACTCAGAGTTAGAAATATCTTTATTTCTTTTCTAAATAAGGTGGCTTGAAAGTACCTATCCCAATGTCTCAACAAAGAAAGTGCTCAATAGATGTCAGATGAAAACTGTAGTGGAGTACAAATGAGTCCTTGACAGTGCCTACCAGGAGATTCAGATCTTTTATTTCAGTCATTGTTTATGACAATAATTCCAATTGAAGATAACATTTACATAGTATTTCCTTCTCTGTTCTATCCAGGGTACCTCCCACCCCCCAAAACCACGCAAACAAGCAAGCAATAAGCCATTGGTAAGAGAATTAAGCAGTATGACTTTGGTATCTGCCTAGGAAATAAATTTAAAGTAGATTGAGGCAAAAGAGCACAAAATCCCAAAAATTAATAGACACTAATTTTCTTCTTAATTTAAACAATTCTATAGACAGATAACAAACATACTTTATCAATGACACATTTATAATCAACATATAATAATCAAATGACAATTCATCTTCATTGCCCAGCCTTAGAGTCAAGACAGTTCTCTCTTATAATATTCATATTAATTCATTTAAATATTATTAGATACTGATATAAACAAAAGGCTCACTGGGCCCAGTTTGAAGAAAGTAAGCTAAATTTACACATACATCATACTGACAAATTTCATGAATAATTTTGCTTGGATGGAAGCTAATACAATGACAGTAGTAATGTCATGAGATGTTTGGTCAAGAGACCAAAAAGTTAACATACTGGAAACTTGACATGCTGGGATGCCAGCAGGAGGACGGCTGATTACCAGTTTAGAGAACCCATTGGACAGTTAACATCCTGTTGCTAGGCAATGTTTCTAGGTAGCAGATCTCTCATCTTAAAGGATCAGAATACTTTGCTTTTAAAATAATGTGCTCGTTTAAAAATTAAATATACATACATTTGTGTTTGTCAACTTTTGGGTCTCTCAACTAGCTCAACACCTATGAAGTTTATGGACTAGCTAATTTATAAGAGATAAATATACTGACTGGATGTCAATATGTATGAGAGCCCTCACTAAAATAAAAGTTTTACACTCACCATGTAGTAAATGATAGAGTTTGCATATGGTCATATAATAAGACCAATCAGAGAGGGAAAGATGCCTTCATTGATGTGCCTATTGTAGCTGAATAATGAAATACAAAATATATTTGAGGTTGATTAAAATTAAAGTAAATTTAGGCATGAAAATATTCTTTACTCTGTAAATACTTAAGTAAGACTCATTATTAAAGTATAATAAATGAACAGTGTAGGCAAAATCTGATGTTTCAAATATATACTTTACGTATAAAATCTGTGTAGATTTGCTATTCAGTTTGGGGTGTTTTAAAAGTATCGTTAATTGACCTTTTAAAATAATAACCACAGCTATGATGGCTGGAGAAAAAGGAGCTGAACTGGTTGGACCAGGAGTAAGGCTGTTACAACCTTGGTTCTCTTCACAAAGTGCCCTGAGCATTAGTGGTCCAGCATGTACCACTTTCGCCCAGGGCTCAGCTTGGTTCTGGTCACATGTGTTACATCCGACACATGACCAGTGAGGAATCTGGAAAGATTTGGAGTAATTGTGTTTCCCAAGCTATCTTTCAATACCAGAATGTGTGCCCTCTTTGCAGGTAGTTAAGATTTAACACCTCCTTTTCTCTTTTGCCCCAACACTACTCCCCTCCTCCACATGCACTGATGCTAATTCTTGCCCTTGGTTCAGCTAAGAGGTTTTCCTACACTTTATCCCTTCATCTCCCTTTTTCAATACTTGAATGTAACTATACTTTTCCCCTCACCCAGGACTAATATAGCTTGCCAGATTTCTCATGGAGAAGACTTGGAAAGGGGTGAGGGACAGGATGAGGTTAGGTTTCCTTGGTTAGGGCAGAAAGATGGGGAGGAGAGAGGGAATACAGATGGAAACCCTACCACAGAGCTGCAGATCTGATCTTGGATTGTGGAAATTTTTTTTTACATGATGGCACTTTTAAGAAAAAGTAACACACCGTTGCTAGTCATCAAAAGCACCAAGGCTGCCATCTTGTCAGCTCTTCGTAACTGTTAGTGATTTAGACAACACATGAATTGGAAATATTGTTTTGGTCTTTCAGTTACAGGATTCAGCAGCTTATTTGGTCTCTTGCCTTTTTTACGGAAGTAACATTTATACTTGATTCAAAAGTGCCCAATTTATAAAAACCAAACAAAGTGACCCCAAACCACGGCTTACTTGATGTTTGGATGAGCACACTAATATATCATTCACTAGATTTATTATAAATTTTTACACATATATAAATTTACCACAGCTTAAGAACTTAAAGATACTTTCAATAATTAGCTCTTGTCACACCACTTCATTACCCTGGGCATTTAAGTTTTCCTTTGACATGATATGTAAATTTGTTTTACAGGTAACTTGAAAGTTAGGAAGACAAGCACACTCATAAACACATGAATGATCCAATAAACAGGCAACACAGAAGTCCTACTGAGTTATGCAAACGCATTACTTCTTTCTTGTGGAAGGGATCAGCATATGCTACATCTTATGTCGCACAAGTGTACTCATTAAATATTATGAAACGTACAGCAGGCCGGAGAGCTCTAGCTAGCTAGTCAAAGTCGCTCATACCTGTGTGTTCGTATTTATGTCGCAGAAGGGAACTGCTTTTCTGGAATGTCTTGTCACATAAGTCACATGCATACATGCCACTTTCTGTCTTCTTTATCTTCTTTCGAGACAGACAGGAGTCGGAGTCCGTCATGTCATCGAGGCCTGACATGTAGTCTTGTGCGCCATCAAGCAATTCTCCCTGTGACATAATCACATAGTTCAACATGGCCTCTTCTTTTTGTATTTCCCCCAAACAACTATGCACAGGCGAGGTTCAAAAATGCTACATGTCAATCTATCTTATAACTAACGTCTTTTAAGTTTTTTTTCCAAACAATAGGTAAAGTTTCAGATTTTAACAGAAAACATAAACCTTCTCTGACAAAGGTGGGAAATACAAAGATTTCTTAAATTGTCCACTTTTTTAATACCAGGGAAAAAATCCATGAGTGAACATCAAATATCAGAATTGCTGTGTTTTCTAGTGTAGTTTACTTCAGAAATGATTGGTAGCTGTAGAAGCCTCATTTTAATTGAATTTTTTATTTAGGTACAAAATATTATTATTATACAATCTATTTAAATGTATGTCTACTAACTAAAAGCCCTAAGCTACACTTTTATATTTAATTTTCTAATTTGAAATAGGGAATATTAATAACACTTTTTATCAATGTTCTATCTATGTTAAAACAGCCTTCAGCATTAAGCAATAATGAATGTGGATCAGTAAATTATTAAATTTCTTGATATTTATTTTGTCTTGGTCCAAAGGAGTGCAAACTTGCATGATAACATACATTTCCATTTGCTAGTCCACAGTTTAGTTTTCTTAGACTGTATTTGCACTAATTAATACTAGAGAAGATTAAAGAGGCTGAAATGCATTTACAGAGAGGGCAGATGTGTTGTACACTGGGATACTGGACAGCTGCTGCAGCCCTGCACCACCACCTCGGGCCCCGATTTTGCAAACAGGGATTATACAAAATAATGCTAAAACAATGCCTGCTTCTGTATTCTACCGCCTATTAATTATCTGATAATTTGAAGATTAGGCAAGACGTTCCTGTGTAACATGTAAAATAGTCTTTAAAAATACTCTTCGCAATGAATGATTCTCTATAAAACAAAATACATATTAAAATTTAAATATGTAATTTCTTCAAGCCATATCCATCTTCCAAAGTATGTGGCTATTACACACTTCAGTTTCAAGCTTGTAGGTAAACCTGCTAACTCTTAGCATCGATGCATAATTCTTGAAAGAATTCTTTATTTTGTTTTTTGTTTGTTTGTTTTGGAGACAGGGTCCTGCTATGTTTCCTAACCTTAAACCAGTAATTTTCTTGCCTTAGCTTCCTAATAAGCTTATCGTTTTAGCCCCTGGCTTGCTAGCTAACTCAGGGTTAGGTGCATGATTTAAAACTTTCCAATTTCTGATCCCCCCCTCCCCATCACTGAGTGTTTTCCCTCATTTAGGTTTTTGTTTGTTTGTTTTTGGTACTGGGCAGGCTGACAATCACAGCTGCTAGCATCACAGCTCTATCATACATGCTAGACCATATTTTTCATCTACTTTCTTCAGAGCAAAAAGACATCTCATTACCTGAAATCCTTGTTTTCGCTGGTATTTCCTCCTTTGCTGCATATCAGCAAAGGTAGCTGCTCCCGTTGGGTAGGTATAGGCCATATGTGGTAGGAAGCTCATCTGATCCAGCCCTGGGTATGGTCGTAGCCCGGGGATGCTGGTCTGGACTGGTGGCATGAAAGTGGCAGGGGGAAATGCGCTCTGAGGTGGAAGAGCTGTGTATAAAGGCTTGGCACTGAACGGGTTCATGCCGAACACAGGGTTAGTGCTTTTGTTGTCCAGATTATTGGAATTTGAAAACTCCTTCTTGATAAAAGTCAAATTCAGAGGTTCATCTGAATTTTCAGATGATGAAGAAACACTGTTGTGGTCTAAATTTATGCTAGTAGATTTTGTTTTGTTCTTTGTGGCTATAATACTTTTGGGTTCTCTCATTTGTTTTGGTAATGACAGGTCCAAAGGCTCAGCCTGCAGCTCCTCGGAAGAGAAGCTATTTGGAGTGTACGAGCTACTGTGGGAGTTTTTTGAAGATGTGGAGGAAAGGTTTAAAGGAGAAGGAGTATTACTCCTTGAGTGGTCCAGTTTATCAACTGCTTTAATATTGGTGAAATGGGAAGGTTTTGTTAGCCTGAGAGGAGGGTCACAACTCGTAACACTGTTGTGGAGTTCTGCTATAGACGGTGATGTTATGGAGTCCATGGGTTTCACAGGAGACCTGGGTAATAAAGAGTCTTTTGTTGGGGGGTTACTGTTGGGAGCTAGCGGCTTGGAGGTCCTTTCCAGTGATGGCGACCTGGAATTTGAGTACTGGTAGACTTTTCTTTGCTCAAACCATTCCTTCACAAATTCCTGAGGAAGCCCCACAGCAATGGAGATTTTCAGCAGTTCGTCAGAGTTGGGCTCCATGTTCATAGCATAGTATGCTTTGAGTACAGACATGTGGTCCTTGTATGGGTTAATGGGGCTTGTCAGTCCTTTCTCAGAAAGTACAGATGACAAGAGGAGGGCTTTATTATCAACAAAAACTCCAGCTTTGTTGGGGACTATGTTTTCATGAGGTTGCAGGACTGCCTTGATCTCTTCATTCATTTTACACAGGTAGCGTTCATGCTGATGCAGGGGAATAGGGCCTGGGAAGCTTTCTTTACAGAACTGGCATGAAAATGGAGTGGCTATGCTGTGGTTCTCAATCATCTTATCATCAGTGACCAAATCTATCAAAGTACGCAGCTTCTCTTTCTTTATGTTAGTGATCTGTCTCCTTGAGTCAGTAGTCAAGCTCTGGAGGCAAGCTTTGGCTTCATTGACCTTTTCTAAGGTATAGTCAATAATACTTTTAGTGGCACCATTATGACTCACTACTGGAAGACCGACAGGAGGAATATTAGGAGAAGTAACTCCTTGTTCTTCCGGCTGAGAGCATGGATCCTTCATGTGATAACCTTTCAACTTTGAAATGTCTTCAGTCTTGCAGTCCATCTTTTGCCTAGAAACCGTATTGTCCACAATCTGTAGAACCTTTTGTACCTCACTCAAGTTACTATTCATAGTGGGAAATCCAAGTAAAGGGGCTTCCATCCCTACACCTAAGTGCTGCATTGGACTCTGAGCAGAGGGGTGCACACCTAAAGGGCTGGTGGCTCCCAGCCCTCCGTTCATAAAGGGACTGCTGCCACTAAACCCATGTGTTGCCATGAGAACTTTATAGTCATTGAAGTCTAGTGGTTCTGTTTTAATCTTAAGTAAGCCTGTCTGCTCAGACATACTAAGTGGTTTTCCATTTTCCAACTTGTTCCTTAATTGAGTAATGGCTGAGTTAGTAGGAGAAGAAGAAACAGAATTAGGGGAAGAACCCGTCTTGATATTGTTTCTCATTCGGCCATTTACTGAGATTAAACCAATACATTTCTTGCTGCTGATGTGTGAACTGTAGGAACCAGAATGGGAGAAGCGTTTCTTGCAGTTTGGGCATTCATAAGGTTTTTCACCTAGAATGATAATTAAAATTAGCGTTAGACTTCTTTGGTTAGGTAACAAGTAAAGTTGCCTGTCAAGACAAGAATCTGTGGAACCAAATGAAATGAATTCAGTGGGGTGGACCCTACATTCTAGATGCTTGAGTCAGAGTTATGTGACCATAACTATTTCTGGGCTTTATCTACCCTGGGTGGACATAATTCAAGATGTAAGCTGTGGAAGGTAAAGGCTATCTATGCCTTTTTAGCTAAGATCCCAAATCTTGTCAGGCCATCGGCAGCCTCCTATTTAAACAGAGTGTCAGATTAATGTGTGGTCAATAGCACAATAAAGATGTCACGGCATTTAAAGGGAAGTGGAGCCATGGCTTTAATCAACTCTGTGGAGATTCCATTGATTCTACCAATTCAACTAGTTCTTTGAATAGCATCCAATTTGGTAATAAAATGCTTGGCAGAGCTATCAAACTATGTATAAAGCAGAAATCTCAGTGGTAGGATGTGGGTTTATGATGTACAGCCATCAATAGTCAAGGAATGTTTATCATACACAAGCTCTTGTCCAATTTTCTCTTACTTTTTCTTGTATAAATTTAGGTATCAAAAAATGAATATATTTCTAAAATTGATGCCCAAATATCTCCACGTCAAAAATACACAGTTTCGGATTTGGCAAGGAAAAACAACAACAACCAACCTCCCCCCCACAAAAAAAAAAAAATCCAAAGCCCTTGTGAATTGGAAGAAGGACGTTGACAGTACCATAAGACTCTCCAAGGCATGTAGAGCTTATGAAATAAATGGTAAATACAAAATGCCACACCTAGGATTGTGTCCATTTAAAGAGTCCTCACAACCTTCTCTAACGGGAAAGAACGCCAACACATTTCGAGGTCCCTGCTACTCACCACTGTGAATTCTGAGGTGTTCTTTCAGGTGGTGCTTGTACTTGAAGGCCTTGCCACACTCTGTGCATTTGAACTTGCGGTTACCTGCTCCTTGGGTTAGCATTTGGTGCTGCAAAAGGAGAAAGACGGCCGTCACTTTTTTCAGGAGGCACAAAAGAGGTTGCTTAGGAGTCTTTTTAAGGTCTGTTTTCAGCCAGGCTGAAAGGTCTGAGCGCATGCTTATTTATCTGCTCCAGTCTTTCAGAGTGGCAATAAAAGTGATAATGCTGGTAATAAAATGGGAACTTTTTTTTAAGTGTGTCACATACACATCTGACACTTGCTTCCCAATTAGACCTGCCATCTTCTTTTCCAAAACATTTCTTTGACCCGTGAGATGAGAAAGTATAACTGTAGAGATGTTCATGGCTCTTTTTGTTTAGGGTGGGATCTAAAACCTAAAGGTTTCCTTTTAGAATATTGCTATCTTTGAGAGAAAAAAAATAGTTTCCTGAAAAGTATAAAGTTTTTTTTTTTAACTCACACTTAAAATATTTTTCATCAGATTTTCTGTATCTGGGTAAAAACATGTCTTACACTACATCAAAATGAAATGTAAAGAAGTGCCCAAAAGAAAAAAATTCTTCCAAATAAAAGACGAAAAAACCCTTTGCCTATAAATATTTGGTATGCCTGTTTAAATATTCTGCTCACGGTGCTACTGGGCATGTCAACTCTGCTTTTCTTAGGTGCTGTCTATCAGATTTGATTCATTATCAAATAAGAGACAACATCTTGGGTTATAGCTGCTTGAGCAGTTTTATCACAAGCCAGTAGGAAGGACTTCAACGACTTTTCATTTTCCTTTTTAGTAGTGTGCAAGTACCGAAAGGAAAAAAAAGTTTGCTAAAAAGACAAGTTAGAAGCAGCACAGATACAATCAAACACAGCTGACCTTTTTGAACAAGGGGGAAAAGCAGTGTGACTTGGGATTCTAGAGAGAAAAAAAATACAGTCATCCACTTTGGATGCTCAAGGTAGGAGGTCAGCCTTTTTCTGCAGCAGTGACACAAAAGCCTTTTGCAAAAAGACAGCACAGAAATGGTATGACAACTGCTAGGGTGTGCTGAATCTTCCCACATTCCTAGTGAGACAGATGGTGTTACATGGGACACAGGGAGGTTTGTTCAAACAGCAGCAACCTTCAAAGATCAAGCGGAGCCCAACCCGCCGAGCGCCATTGAGGGACCAGCGCTCATATGTTGCTGAGTTGCATAAACAAACAGCAACAGCTGCTTTGTCTCCCCCACAGCCCTCAGAGGACTACTATAAACTTTAGTTGTGCCACTGTTAATATGATACAATCATTTTAATTTACTAATTGTAAATGCCATGAGCAAATGAGGGGACTTTTCAACACCAAAGCTACCATTCATAATGTGCCAACACAGTCACACGTCTGCATGTGAAATTTAAAGCAGTTATACTAGATAAATATCTAGGCATTTTTTTTCCTAGACTTTTTTTTTTTTGTGCATAGAAGCATGAGAAGATAAACTGTTACAAAAGTGTAACTACACAAACATATTACTTATAGCTGATCTTTGGAAAACATTCAAGTAACAAGTCCAATCAGAAACAAGCGGTGTGATAATGTGATATAGAGCCTTAAATAGTAAATAGCACAGTTTTTCCGTCCTTGCTTAACTGCGTTGGCACCTTCTTTTCCTTATTCAAAAGACAATAAAGCTATGAGGACAAATTGGAGTTTTATATAGAATGCCATATTTAACCATTTAAAAACATAGAATATCAAAGTTTATTTAGAGCATTTCTATACTACAGGACCAGTTATTGTGACTTATGAAACACCATTACTGTGACAACCCAACACATCATAATATCAATTTGCAGAGTCAATTCTCCCAGGAGGACAGAAAGTGCAGGTTTGCTAAAACATTTAAGAGATGATGTGAATCAATCCTACTCAGGCATTTCAAGGGTTTAAGACCCTGTCCTCACTTTTCCAAGACAGAATTCTTGTTTTTAAAGTAGGTAAGCCAAAAGAGACAGAACAACTTTGGCATTTCACTACAAGCAAGTATATTGAGATGGGATTATCTTAATTATGAGCAATGTTTTTTATCATTTGTCATTTTCTAATTCATTATGTATCTATGCATATAACCTATATGCCTTTTTATCTCCCTAAAAATAACTAGATTTCATAAATTAGTAAGCTTGTAAAAGTATTCTAAGTAATTTGAAAGTAGCTCATGGCAAATGAAAGAAATACACACTTATTTTACTATGCATTAGGTCCTATATGAAAAAAAAATGCCTAAGCAAAACTAGGTGAAAAATGGAATTAAAATTGCTGAGATGTTTAATAATGTATAATTAAAATGCTACAATTTCATTCACTTTTTGTGGAACATAAAAATGAAACTAAAGTCAAGTTAAAGTGCAAATAAAATTTCTAAATTAGAAATTAACACACTCATTCGATCGTGAACATAAGACTATTAAATCATATTAGAAGAGACCATCAAAAAATCATTTAGACCTCAATTAAAGCTATTACCATTAAAAGATCTGCATCTTCAAAATGCCATGAAAAATTAATAATGATTGCCAATCAAAGCAATATCGTTTCTCTAAGGGGTTATTATAGAAAGAAATCACTTAGAACCAACCCCCACCTGATCTGTCCCTGGCTTGTGCGTCACCATATGCCGCTCGAGCTGGGTGCGGTAGGCGAACGTGTAGCTACAAAGAGGGCAGGAAAAGTTCTCTTCATTCTTCTCGTGGCGGTACTTGATGTGCTCCTTCAGCGATGTCAAGCGCTTGTAGCCGCGGTCGCAGTAGGGGCAGGTCAGCAGTTGGGCAAAAGCATCTGGAGTTCCAGGTGGCAGGTCTGTAGCCGAGAGGCGAGAGGGAGAGGAGCGGGCCAAAAGGTCAGTAAATCAATGGCAGCTAATGGGCTGGCTGCCCGGGCTGCTATGACAGGAATCATTGCAATCTGCTCCAGCAGAGCGCCATCATTGAGGCCGGCCTCCTCGCAACCAGGCCCCTTGCACACCCAGGGCAGGCTTGTCCGAATCAGCTCACACTGAGCTCGAAAATTAATTAATTACTTGGGCTTATTTGTGGGGAGGGGAATTTAAACAGCTGATAAATAAAGAAATTCCCTTTGGGTGACTGACAGTCCCTCTGAGTCCTAGACTCACATGTTACTCAGGAATTTACAGGAGGGAAGGAGGTTTTTCAGGTGTCAGAGAACAAAAGGTGAGGGTCAGTGATCTGAAACTTTTTTTTTTCCTCAAAAGTAAAATATCTCTGAAAGATAGGAATAAATTTAGATATTTTTATCTCTTAGAAACAGGCTGTAATTGTTCTTATTCTGTATTGGATGTACAAATGACACAAATTTGCTGACAAAAAAAATTTCACAATACCCTAAAATTACAGTTCTAATCTTTGCTCATGAAATTCCATGCCTCTGCAGCTGTTCTTCAAATTTTAAGGTAAACACCCAGGCATGTAGTGCATTTGTAATTGTAACAGCTGCAGAGGTCAGTATAGTGGCTAAAAATGAATTACAGCCTTACCATTTTCTTCTTGCCCATTGGCCTCTGGCGTGCCAAGGCGAGACAGCTCCTCAGGGGCTTCTGGGTAAATAATGGCCGTGTCACTTCGCTGAAGGTACTCTTCAATGCTGACTGCATGGCCATCTCGTTCCTCCAGTTTTCTTTTGGCAAAGTATTCCTCGAAGTCTGATGTGCAATTTGCATTCTTAACTGAAATCATAAGCAGAAGAGAAATGTCTTTTCAGGGCCTTTTTTTCCTATATCATTGTTAGTAACAAGGTTGACTGTTTACTTGTAAGGCTTAAACTAACTCATTTGTTTGTCCTAAGGGAAGGTGACCAAATAGTGATTAAATGGTTATTTCTATAATACACCCAAAAGAGCTTACTTTGCTTAAGTAGGTATATTTGTTCTTAGAATGTTCACCTGGATAATTCACATAAAAATGAAAGAAAATTTTAAATGTATTTATTAAAATGTTTTAAGTGGAACTAAAATCCCTAAGCAGATACTTTAATGTTTTATATGAAACTTCCTTTTCTCTTAAGAAAACTAAATTTAGCTCTTAGTGATAGGGAACTTTGAAGATCTACTCTGAGAAGGTCAGCAGACAGCTTAGGCCTCTCCAGCTCCAAGGCCTCAAAGTGTTTTGACTAAAAATAATAATAATAATAATAATGTTCTGAAGGCATACTAAACTTCACATTCCTATTCACAGATCCATATGCTGCTAAATATAAGCTTTTATTATGCTCTTCTTTGAATATGAGAAATAGTTAGGTCTATATGTTGTAACCTACTTAAATTCTATGGCCCCTCTGTTGAGATCTACTTTATTTCTTAGCATAACTATGGTTCCTCTGTTAACTACTGTAGCTTTTAGCATATCAGAAGCCATTTTTCCTCCAAGTCCCCATTTTGATTAGGTCTCTATGGTTTCATTTCTCAAACTTTGTATACTTTGTTACCTGGACACTGTGAAGTTCCCCAACTGCAGAACCAATCAAATTAAAGGTCAGTTAGAAACACTTTGTCTGGCATAGTTAAAATGATATAATGTTGCTTCCTATACCTGGATACCTGGTTGCATTTTTGTTACCTGGTTGTTACCTAGTTGAGTTTTTTTTTTTTTTTTCCTGCACCTGGTTACAATCTTGTTACCTAGTTATTTCCTGGTTACAGGTTTTTTTTTTTTTTTTTTTTTTTTTTTTTTTTTTTTTTT